CAAAGCGCAGTGGCGTGCAGTCTGCCAACTTATTCATCAGAGACCACATATCAATTTTTCTGACTTTTGAAACTCACCTTATTCATATTTTTCCTTTCTTAAAACTAGATGCACGATTGAATTGCATAACAATAGTAAATTATGGGGATTCGATATAGCCATTGTAGGTCTATTTGATTTGTAGCCTTAGCGAAAACATCTCCTCTGAAATTAAATTTGGGTGGCTTTCTAATTCTATGCTACTGTGTACTCTCATTCACCATTGACGAAGCTCAAAATAAATTATAATTAGTTGAAAATTTCCAGCAACAGCTAAAACTTAAATTTTTGAGGAGTAAACCGACAGTTTCATTTCTGCATAGTACTTGATTTTGAACAAATTTTAATGCTACGAAAGAGCTGAGTTACATGAAATACACACTGTTACCTTTGAATAGTCAGCATTTCTAAGTTGCCAGGTTGGACACTTGGGCAGGTTTGTGCAGACTCGCTGTGTTTTCGGTTTGACAAGAAACTGGCGCTCACACTCGGAGTCCTCGAGCACATGGTAGACCCCAGTATCAAGAAGTTCGCATCGCACCACGCGGGTCTGTATCCCCTGTCCGCCGCAGGGAACCGAGCAGTTGGACCAGGGACCTTCGATCCACTGTACCAACTTCTGTCTTGTCATTACCACAGCGGGGTCCTCGTTTTGCGTCTCTATATTGCGCTTGGGGGTTCTCGCTGCCCAATCAGCAAGACCCTGTGAAGGAAGATTGTAGTGGAGTGTAATCGCGGCGCTAGTTCCTTCGTTGCCTGCAAAGCAGCGCCACTCGCCTGCGTCAGCGCCCGAGAAACGCCGAATAACCAAATGTCCAGATTTACTCACGAACCTCGAATTTGTGGTGTTGCGAGCGTCACCAGTGTAGGTAAAATTACCAAGCACTTTGTGTCGCCAAACGAGACTCGAGCCTGGAAAAAACTTCACGGGGCATTTGATTGATAGCCTTGTCGTCGGAAGGATATAGGCTTCTTGGCCAACTTGAAGACTCATTTTTCGGACCTAATTAATGGATTAAAAAGAATGCAACTAGCCTTGCCAAAATGGTGCAAGGAAATTGGTTAAGAAAGTTAAAACCAACCTAATTCCTCAAGTACACAACGTCAAACTTCTCCAAGCCAGTTGAATAAAAACTGTCCAGAAAATGATGCAATTTTAAAAAGTTACTAATTTACAGTATTCTTGCAGCCGGTCTCTTATATATTTGGCAAAACGAATTTTGGAGAAATTAGTTTCGCGCAATGTCTTTGCCTTAATAAACGCCAAAGCCCTATAAAAGGACATTGTTACGTTTAGGGGGACCTGACGAAAAACAACCGAGGCGGTTCTCTGCGGTTCCCTTGGTGGGTAGCCGAAGTCCACTTTGCCGGTTTTTATTCAAATTATAAACCGCTCACTTGACCTGAGTCCATTCAGTGCGCCCTTTAACCAAGTGCACGCTTTCACACGACGACCAAAATTGAACTAATTTTATTTTTGCCTTGGACAAAAGTAGTTTCGTGTATCATGGTAAATGATTGAAATCTGCGCCTTTTCTTTCTGCGAATTTCTACTTAGTTTACGATTTCAGGTTTTGAAGAAAGATGCCAAAATTAAAACAATATAGCTTTACATTCAACACACTATTCCAGCCTTTTCTGTGACATAAATTAGTTACTAACTATTTGACTAAGCATTGTGAAAGACTATTAGAGTAAAGGGAATGGCATGGGTAATTTTCGATTAACGTGAAGACGTTAAAATGCAATGTTTATTTATCCAAATTATACATATCTAAACTGCTTGAAATTATGTGAATGCGAACAGTTGTTGCAGCTTTCAACAAAAAGAATTCACAGTTTCAAAACAACCTAATTCCAAATGACTTGGCGCACACTGCTTCAAGGCAGACACTGTTAAGCCACTGTTAGGGAATGGAAGCACCGTGTTTCATCACATTAACGTGACTGTTTTAGGCAAATGCAATACCATTATCCCGTCTTTGAGCATAGTAATAGATGCACGTCAATTGTTCTACGCTTAGCCATGCAAACTATCGAAAATAACACGCCGTACGATTAAAAAATTAGCAAATATCAGTGCCTAAATCAATAAATCACTGGACACACACCCAACTTTGATGCCCTACTTGATTAAAACAGTAACGTATTTTTCAATTTAATAGAATGAATTAAAATTAGGCTTTTGTGCAGGTAGAAACCGAACTTGCACAGTTTACTCAAAGCTACCATTACTCAAAGTATAGTATGTTTATTTTTTAGTTCAGGAAGAAATCACTTCGACGGATGACTTCATGGCACATCTCATGAGAGGGCAAGAGCCTTTTTCATTGAGCCACCAACGGTATATTTCTTTAGTACCGGGGATTCGCAGTCAAAATGCCACTTACGTGCCAGCAGAGGTCATATTTCAGAGTTATGCATTCCACGTACTGCATTACCCTTTTTCGATAGGTTAATCTGCTGATCCCACAAAAGAAGTACAAACCTCGGCCATAATGGGCAATGGAAGCGTTTGAATTAGGAGGTGTTAATAGATCAACCGAATCTGTCCCAAGTAGTAATAACTTACAGCTCGCATCTGCACTACGACCATTTTCACCTCGTCGATAACTGGATCCTTTTGAGTGCACATGGCGCTGACCTCGGGGATGAAACACCGTCGCCAAGTCGAGGGAGGAGGCTTCCGACCCATGTAACAAGCAATCTTTGGTAACTCCACATAAGTCCCATTTGTATGCAATGAACGGCACGATAGTTGGCGGGTCTGAAAACCACTCTTGCAGGGATCCTTTTGCTCGCACTACAAAAACAAAGGATCGGTATATGACGTTTCACACAATTACGACGAAACCCATGCTCAAAATTAGGTTATTTTGATTTTAGCCAAACAAAAGCAAATCGACCAATTCTGTCCACATATTAGTAAAGGATTAAGGTCAAAATTTTCCGCATAATTACTTTCGAAATTGTAAAAATTACAGGAATACTAAGGGCCACATCGATGACAATGCAACTGTCCGACGCAGTCCCTGTAACACGAAACTTATCAAATAATGGTTTGGTGGTTTTATTCGTTCAGCTTTGTTAAATCGCAAGTATTGGCACATCATACAGAATTCACGTTTAAGCCAATATAATAACATGTGACATTAGTTGCAAATTTGTGTAACGAAAGCAATTCAAATGATCAAAAGCAAACAAAGGAACAAGACCAATCAAAATTAGCTCAGTTTTATAAACAAGATTAAATTTGGGCGTTATTTGGCTAAATCATGCAATTCAGTCAGTTCACACAGAGCTGTGGTTGATGGTAATTAAGACTACAGAAGCAGAAAGCAAACCTTTTGCCATTCGAGTGCCAGAAACTCTGCAGGGCAGTTGAATCTATTACAGACGCCATGGGACTCAGGCCTCTTTTTTGGGTCACAGAATGGATCTTCAAACTTCTGGCTGATGACAATTTCTCCCTCGTCTCCGCCCATGACACATTCAACTTCGCGTGTCGTGAATCCATGGTCACCGCAGGGCTGAGAACAAATCGACCAATTTGAGGTCCGCCACCACGTCTTCTTGCTACAATCACCCCAGTCGCACTGGCGTATCGCCTCTGGTGGGAAGGTCTGAGGTAGGGGTCCGCAAAACCTCTCAGGCCGAAGGACAGTTGTGTTGTATCGGTCATTTTGCACACAAGAGAAGACCTTTCGTTGAGTACCTGGACCACATTCTGGATTACAACGGTCCCAAATATCCGTGGGAATCCACTGAGGGCCACTAAATCAATATTAATTAAAAAAAGCAATTTGAATTGGCAATTCCATTTAATCCAATGAATTCGTGAGGTGAGCCATCAAAGCCTAGGAATCATGTTAACACTACGTAACCCAGGAGAGGTTCAGACTTCACGGAAACATAATGCACAATTTGCCTATTTCCTAAGATTACAAAGATTCAAAGGGCACTGCACTAATCCAAAATCATCTGCCTTCTTTTTTGAAAAACGGACTAATTTGAAGACTAAATGAAGACTCTGAAAGTTTGTCCAGTTGTACTGCAATTGACCTGCGACAAGTAGCAGTGCCTTTGGGTGTTACTAATCTCAGCCATAGCAATTGTACTGAATTAGCCTGCGCCTCCGATCGAGTGGAAGAAAATTTATACCAATTAATGTACTTGTAATAAACTCGTCTATTTTGTGTACAAAAGACTTCCACCTAATATGTACAGATTTTGTCATGCAAAGAAAAATCATGATTTTAAGAGCACAATATTTAAGAAAATTCAACCGAAATGGGGGTGAATGATTGAATTGATCGATTGAATTAAGTTGTGGTAGAACGGCCTAGTATTGCACCGAAAGCCTCTTAATATCGCATTACGCTTGGGCCGATTTCGTACTTAGTCAATGACGAAGCTTGCAACATCGCTTGGAACTTCCTTCTGTTCTGAAACTTGCATTTTGACAGCAAGTAGAGAGCACCATCATTCTAGTAAATTCTTGTTCTGAATAGATTTGTGTAAACCCGTAGGCGCAAGCAAAAAGAGTTGCAGTCGACAAAATTGTACACTCACAACAGGACTGTGAGTTCATTAAAGTAGGCAAAAAGCAGCTCACTGTGGAAATCAGGACTTTCATGACAGGTGTATTTAAATTATTAATAGGCAGTCTCTCATAATTACGTTTCAGCTTTAATCGCGTATGCCCGTTCTCGCAATAGACAGTCTAGTCTACTAGTTCTAACACAAAACTGACACGTAAATCTAAATGGAGCAAATTTAAAGGTTCTGTCTGGTCTATAAGTAAAGAGGCGAACTTAAAGAATTTGAGTGAATCTAATGTAAATAATGCCGTCATTTTGGGTCTGTGTAAATCTTTGGCCAAAGGTTAAGATGGTTTTAGCTAATCGATTACAAAAGAAATACAATTAAACTACTCGTAATTTAGGCTACATACAAGTAAATGTGATTCATGTTTCTCATAATTCACAGTGTGAAATTTGGAAAAATCCTCAATTAAAATGTTTCGCAGAATCTCACCGAATAAAAACAATTGTTTTATTATAATTTGAATACATGTTTCTCAAATACACAAATACAAGCGAACGTTTCTGAAAGTGGGCTTAAAATTTCTTCATGATAGATGGAAGTGCGTTTGAAAGATTAAAACACTTACCCACAAAGAGAAAGTCTACATTGTAAGGCAACGATGATCAAACAGAGGGTCCACATTGAAGAGAATGCAGTGGGTTAAATGAAAGAAGAGGATCTTGCTATGAAAAATGCGGTCAAATCGAGGTCTGGGATAAGGAAAATGCAGTTGAATTTGGACTCTGTGAATAGAGGCAAAAATTCCCATTAAATATGGGTCTGCTAACAAACATATTAAAATGGCCATTCCTTAAGTACCAAATAAAATGATTGAGTGTAAAAACATAGTCGCATAATCCCAAATTCTAGCATTAAAAGTGAAATACCAATTTGTTTTCATCCATGGTGATTAGTGCATTCATATTCTGCATTTTAATCAAAATGGATTCGCAACAAAATACATCAGACTGCACACCAAATGAACCGCTGGCTAGGCTGCTAAACGAGCTTGTAGCAACTGTAAATTTGTCAGCTCCAAACGGAGAAGGCAACTGGCAGAACAACAGGACTGTGCATGGAAATACAATTGGGAATTGTCCACGTGTTTACTCAGTATAAAAGTAGAATGGGTTCGTGCTCGGATAAAGCTGGATTCCAAGATGCTTGGTAAAATGACTGATTGCGTATCACCACCAGAAGTAGGCAAGATTTGAGTTCTTCATGCACCGAGTAATGTGGAACTCAAATTAGCGCAGACATTTGAAACGATTTTGAGGAATAGTAACATGCTTTGACGCATATTATTGGCAATTGATGGTTTTCAGTTTCTTAAGTTAACATAGCTTTTTAAATCGGAACCATGGAAAATCACTCTCTAATTAGATTTATGTGAATAGGATTTCCTAGAACTAACCTATCCGCTCCTCTGGCACGCAATGATGACACCGGATAATCAATGCATGTAAAAAACTACCGAAAACTAAAAGTAAATTTTTTGCATCAACATTTGTTAAAATTGTGTTTTTTACTTGAGAGTATCTTATTGTGTTTAAAAATTGAATCAATTTAGAAAAAAGAGAAGTGAACAGTTTCTATGCTAACTTTTTCTACTGGAATTAGTCGGTGTTCTGAAATTTAAAACTAGAAAAAACGCTCCTGTTTGTGCAAACAGATCAATATTATTAAGGCGAAAATTGTGTTCACGCGAAATTATAGTGTAATTCATTTATTGTTTCTAATCCGTGATTGTTCTTGCCTGTCATGCCATTTCTATACCTGCCAGTTCCCCGGGCTTACTGGAAAATCTGGCAATTCAACCCTCATTGTTAAATTACTTGATGCTCGGCTCTGTAACAAATTACCCATAAAAACTCTCCAACATTAGGCGTGGTGTAATTTGGGTGTTAGAATCACGCTTCATTGACACCTCGACAGTGTACACAAGACCTTGAGAAATTAAACCTCTTGAAGTGGCAGAGTGCAGAGCTTGGTAAGTTGTGCAAGAGCCTTTGGATTTTGACAGGTAACAACAAGATGACGCAAGTTGACAAATCGCCAAATGGCAGCGATTTCGCTACAATTCGCCATTCGATTGTGTCGCACACTGTATCAAATGACATTTCGACACCTTCATAATAAATTTAAACAGGCTGCAGGAATGACGCCCCAGTAGTTTATAATAAACGCCTGATGTTGCTTTCTGTTAACGAACCAACATATAACTAAACGAACTCCCAAACGCATCATGTGGTAGCGATGCATTGAGCAAAGTTCCTTGTGTTTGGCAGCAAGTAAACTTAAGTTTAAACGATGAGTTAAATCGCTCAAACCTCACAATACATTTCAAGGGCAACAGCGTAAAAGTATTTCGAGTACTCAACGGACATTTTAAATTGACCCATAAATGACAGAAATTGTGCATGCGAATCGTTTTACTAGTCTTCACCCCCAGCATTGATTAAACACATGCCATTTGGTTCACTACCTCACAAACTTCCAGATCTTGACTATCGTGAAATCGAGACTTGCGGTCACAGATAAGCGCTGTTCCGCAATGAAAAAAATCTTTTTTGAACGAGGCCAATAAGAACCTCGTTGCATTTGTTTGATAGTCGTTAACTGGTACAAAAGTGCGTCGATCCATTCCATCAGACACACCCCCACAGTGATCGCGGACAGTTAAAAATGAGTTACTTGCCATTTAAAGTTATTTACTACGCAAAACTGGTAGGCGTCAGAAATTCCAAAAGCATTCTGACCGAATGTCTGAACGCCTCCGCAGCTACCTATTTGGGATGCTCCGGATTATGAAGAGCCACAGGCAAAGGTGTGCCTTTCGAAGTAAAACATTAAATATCTATGGCATGAGGCTGTTCCATTATACACGTGCTTCAATATATAGAAAAATTATAGGACACAAAAAACCGATGATCCATTTCTCAAAATTTTTACACACACATACCGACGTAAGGTTGTGTAAGGGTGTTTAGGTGGGCTACCACTTATGAACATGCCCTAATTCCACTATGTCACGAATTTTATTTTAATAAAGCACATTCAACGTGAGCAAGTCGTGCTTTTTGTGAAATCAGGTGACAATCAATATTGTGTGCAAGCAACTGTAAAGGCTTGTTTGTGGGTGATGCAGAGTGCATTTGTGTTCAGGCAGTACAGGATTTATTGGCTTAACATTTTCACCATCACCAGGGAACACGAAATGTAAAATCGTCCAAACTAACCGTGACGTCACGCCTTGCGGAATCATGTTTTGGTGGGAAAAAAGCGAATTTAACAAATGTGCACGACTATATCATTATGATTTGAATTTAGGTCAAGATTCGCTACTGCCTAATGACTTGGAAGCATCAAAAGTAAGAATCTAACAAAGTAGCCAATCACGCCCTTAACCATTGACACTTAAAGTTAGATGGTGTGATGAGAAAAAAAGTAGCCTCGAAATGCCATCACGTCGATTGCCGAATGTAGAATAGGAGGGGTGTATTTTATCTAAGTTTCAAAATTAACTAATACTACAAAACTTTGAATAGGGCTATTGAATAATAAAATTCGAACCGTAAAAAACGTCATTTTCGAGAATTGAAACTAATTGGTTATTTCAAGCCTTGGTTGTGTACCAAAGAAAAGAATCAGAATAAAATGCTTATATAACCATGATAACAACTGTGGATTTTTTTGTTACAGCCGTGGACATAAAGTAACAGAGTATTTACTCACAAGTACTGTGACGGCAGTGATTCGATGACGAGTTAAACAGCTGAGAAGCTGCTCAGCATTGCAACTCCATTCTTAATTTAGGTATATATAATTCCGGTAAGTGTCTCTTTCTTTTGCGAAATATGTAAGCGAAGCACTAAGATTTCGAAAACTTCCTAGTGGAACTCCGGTGCAGGTCTAACGAAACAGATGAAGTGGCAGGAGAGTGGATTGGCCAAGCGAAGCATACCTGACTCCACCCCCGTCACACTTTTAATTGGTATTATGTAGACCAATCACACATCAGAGACACGAGAATCCAATCAACTGATAGCTGCATGCGATGCATTATGTCCCCGGTTTTACTAACCAATTGGCATCGAGCTATGATGGGGCGTGCATGCGTGCAACGCTACTCACCAAAATTTTATCGTGTTAATTCATTGTTGATTCGAGGCTTCGTCATGTGGGT